AAAAAAAAAAAAAAAAAAAAAAAAAAAACAGAAAAATAGCAAAGAAAACGTTAGTGAAGAATACAAAGTTTTCAAATAAAAATCGGATGTTCTTTTTCACGCTACTTTGATATCCATGTCAGTTCAGTGTTCTATGGAAGGCCACGAAGAGGGTCAAGACACCATGTATAGATAGTAGCAAGAGTACATTAAAATGAGATCATTGAAAAAAATACTTCAAACTTATTTATAAACTTAATGGTAATTCGATGCATGGAAATTAATTGGAATTAGTTTAATTACCAAAATAAGGAGGAAAATGATGAAAATAAATCCGATCTTGAAATATAAAATGTACGTTGCTTCCTGCCATTTGGTATTGATCTCAACTAAGATTGGAATAAACAACATAGAACTTGTCATACCAATAGCTGCTAGAAGGCTACTCAATGGAATCATTTTTGGTACTGCGATTGCTAAAAATGCTACAAATATTCAGATGATTATAATAATTAATGAAATCAATTGTTTCGATTAGAAGTGTTTATTCGTTTTAATAACTTACTTGCAATTAAGATACCAGCCAAACGAAAAATAATTTCATGACGATCTTCGAGACTAGTCATGTCCATAATAATTGGCCAAATTATGCTAACTGGTATGATATATGTTATACCGATCGATAATAGTACGCTGATTGAAATACCAATCTTTGTTATTTCTGCCAATCTAAACAAATTGATAGTAAAAATCGTTAGAAAAAAGTAATCTATATACTAATATTTAATTATAATAATAACAATAATAACTCTTTACACAATAAATTGTATCTTATCAACAATGTTCTTATTCTTCTTCTTCTTCAAAAAAAAGAAAAAAAAGAAAAAAAAAGAAATAAAGATTTCTTCATCGTTATTACAAAGAAGAAGAAGAAGAAGAAGAAGAAGAAGATAATCTCATTCTATCGAATGATAAATCAAGCAGCACGTCATATTGAGCCACGTGGACAAAAAAATTGTCTGTTCGACATCTAATGAATGAGTTGTTAGAAGAATGCGGTCGAATTCGTTGATAAGTTCAATGATAATCCTTCAGTTGGTTTTTTGTTTGAAAACTAATAAACCCCTCTTTTACGTTTTGTACGCGAAATAATGTCTCAAGGTTTTTGTATAACTTATTCTTCTTATTCGAAAGGAAAAATACAGGAATGTAGTACATATATGTTATCCGACAAGAAAAAGTAAATATGTCTCTTGATATGTTCTGATTTGATCGATGATTATCGTAATATTGAAGAAGAACAAAATTTTAGAAGAAGCAATGACATTTTTCTCCATTAAAATTATATATCGAATTCGATTACGTCGTATCGATAATTTCTTGTGTTAATAAAAATGGAAAAATCATGATCATAATTAATAATAATCAAATGTAGATATTAGTATGCATCGTCAAAGTACATTTTCCTTTTTTTTTGTCTTTTCATTAATAGAAAGATAATAAATTTTGTATTTATTTGATTCGTGAATTATTTTTTTATTAAAAAATAATATTCTATTCATAATTAATTGGATTCGTAGCAGACAGATTTGGAAAAAATGTATAAGTTTTGTTTTCTTAAGTGATATCTATAAATCTATCAATATGAAAAATTAATTAAATAAAGAAATAATATTTATGATCTATTTAACTTTGAATATCAATTTTGCAAATCGTAGAATTTTTGCTGAAATAAATCATCCAGTGATCTCATCACATTTTAATAAAACTGCAAATATTGAATGAACTTTACGATAAGATTAAATGGTAAAATAATTAATTGATTGATTGGATGAATTGAATTTCAATTAATTTACATTAAATTATTTAAATTAGAGTACATTGAGGAATCTCATACCGTAGAGACATTTACAAAATATTCGTCGATAAAATCCCAAATATTGACGATTTTTATCATAAATAAATAAAAACATCTTTGAACCTCATTTTATTCACTGATGAGTCCTTGAATCATTGACGTCTCACATCGAATGCAAATTTACAAATTCCTAATCATTGACGAATCTTTCCATGAATAAATTTAAAAAAAAAAAAAAAGAAGAATAAATTCCCCTTTATTCATTTAAAAAGTTCTTGATCATTGACTAATCGATCACCGCGTAGACACATTGAAAAAATTATAAAACCTTTTTTTATCTCTACATAATCAATGAATCAATAAGACGAACTTTACCGTTAGATAAATTTAAAAATTATTTATATCACAATTTGATTCATTTCGTTCTCAATTTTGGATAAATAAACAAACAAAATAATTAAACCTTTTGTTTATTTCTAGAAACGCGTTATATCACTGACAAATCTTTTCATAGACACATGAATCAATTCTAAATGAAATCAAATAGAAATAAAAAATCAAAAATACAATTTCATGTGCTAACATAAAAAATTTGTGGAATGCACAATGTAACCTATCTCTCTCTCTCTCACTCTCTTTCCAAATAATAATTTCAAATAATATAACTCCTTTATTTCTTCTCTTCAATCTCAAATAAATAATTCCATCGAGCTATGATCATCGTTATCGTTCTCCAAATGCACAAACACACACACACACACACACTTACAAATAGAAGAGATATCGAAAGAACAAAGTATCACAAAAATGCTCACATTTCGTCGAGTGGTAAATTCTTGATGACGGTGTCGCAGCTTTCCTTGTATTTATTGTAACCTAAGAATCCAAAGGTAACATAAAGTACTGTGTTCAATATCGTAGCGATGATTATTAATCTTGGCATGTTTCTTGGATTCTCCATTGTATTTTCCAACGGTAGGAATATCGTAATGTTGTGTAATGCGAAAAGGAAAATACTGGAAAACATTGGCACCGAATGGGCACTCGTAAATGGATCGAGTCGTTTAGGGTTTGGAAAATCATCGATAAAATAAAATAAACTGATTCCAATACCCAAGATGAAGAAGATCGTACCGATCAGGGATAATGGAGTCAGGTATTTGAGATTAGGCACAAGAATGATCAAACAATAAATTGGACAAAATATTATCACGTATATTCGTACGTCCAATGTAACTTTTGTCCAAAATTCAATCACCTGTGAAATAACGAAAAAGACCGAATTTCATTTGGTTATCTTCTATGTTGTTATTACTCGAATATTATATTTTTACCAACGATAAATAATATTTATTACTTTTTACTAAAATAAAGAACAAAATAATTAAATTATCGAATAGTATTTGATCTTATTGTTTAATTTACAAACTTATATAGCTGATATATGATGATAAAACAAATTTAAAAATTTCTTTCTAATCGATAAATAAAAAAAGAAAAATCTTTTAATAAAAATCGAATGGTATTATCAATAGGATTATCCGATCGTTCCACTTGCTCTCAATACAAAAAATAAATATCAAATAAATAACTAAGAAATGTAATTAATCGAGAGAGAGAGAATGTTTCATTTACTATAAAAATATACATATATATAAAAACAAAGGTTAATCAAAGTAATACAAATACGATATTTGTTATCGACGTTTACGATCGAGATACTTTCTATGTCTGTAATAAGATAACAAAACACAAAAATGTACTTTCTCGTTGAAAACATTTACACATCATTTGGACGTTACATCACGTTACCTAATAAGGATAGTAAGATTGTAATTTATGATTCGTCGTAAGAATAAATTTATATATACTGGGTGACACTTAACATACATAAATATTAACGAGTTTCAAATATTGTTTTTACAATTAAAGTATTTTTTGGGGTTTATCATCAACATTTTAATGTCACGCTGCATACACGTGATTTAAATGTGCACGTTGTACGTGTATCAACTGTTTAAAGGTAGATCATTGAGAGATTGACTTTAAATACAAGGTGGCTTAACGCGAATTACTTTTTTTTTTTTCTGCATTGAAATTGATTATCCATTTCTTTTAAATTCCATTTCTTCGTATTCACAATAAAACGAATCACTATGCATACAGGTGTACATATTTGTATATGTTTGTGTCACCTGTTAAAAAGAAACATAACAAAAACATATAATCCTGATGTTTTGGATTATACCTATTTTAAAAAAATAATTATCATTCAAATGATTCGCATTGCATGTTTGTGTTTAAATGTATATACGTATCACCTGTTTAAAGGTATATCAAAAGGGAGATGAGATTGTGTTTAAATACAGAGTGACTTAATACGAATTTCTTACGAGTTTCTTTTTTATTGAAAAATTCAGATTATGAATTTCTTGTAAATTTAATATGAGTCACCCTGCATATAAATCTGTATATTTGTATGGATGTAAAGATTGTGTGTCACCTGTTGAAAGGAACTGCCAACGTATAGTATGTATATCACGACTGTTTTATACTGTATGAAACAGACGACAACGTTCGTGAACACAGCGAAGGTTTTACCATGCCTACGCATTCTCTCGGGACCCATAAGAAATGAGACCTCCACGGTTTCAGCAAAATCCAACTTGGGTAAACGATGACGTCGGCAAAGTACTTGGGCGCACTGCACCTGTTGATGAATAATAATTAAAGCAAACAAAAACATATTTGTTATTACAAAAATAACATAATTAATATCGTTGATAAAGTTTCTCATTGATCAAGTTGTCATTGATCAATTTTATGAATAAAATTAAAAAAGAAGAAAACAAAAGAAGAAATGAACTGTAGTAGTCATAAATCTGTCTTCGAAAAAAATATTAAATTAATGTTCTTCAAATTGATTCGTTCCATTTTTTAAATTTGAAAGTTATGCAAGTTTATTCAATTTTTTGCTCTTCGAATAATGTGTAAAAATGAAAAAGAAATAAAACATTGAGGATTGAAATAAAAAAAGAAAAAAGAGTAATAGTATCAGCACGTGGAAGATTGAATGAACTTTATAATTGATCGTAGTTATTCATAATGGTCAAAGCACGTACCAGAACGACCGAATTGTGCGTGTAAATCAAACCAATAAGAAGACCACAAATGATGGACATCACGTAGCCAGTTCTACGAAAAGCATTAGGCAGGAAGAGGATACCGGTGGCCGTGGCTGCTTTCATTATATGCATAAAAACGCTAAAGTCCCTGAAAATTGTATAAATATAGACAACACTATAATAATCATTTTGAAACAAACAAAATATACTTTTGAAAATATATTATAAAACTAGGATGATTAGCGTGACTCCGGTCACGCATTTCTCTGGCTTCATTATCAAATGTTGATTTAATATAATTCCATAAATGTATATGTAATAATAAAAAGCAAAAAAAGAAAGATAAAAAGCAAATAATCAATCCCTACGAGGTTTTAGGTTTATCCGGTCGATGGAGAAAAGGATCATAATCTCGTTCATGTTCAGGTAATGATGATCTATCAATTTCTTGAACGTTCTCGTTCGTTTTCATTATGTTAATCGATATAATGAAGATAAGAATGCAAAATAATGATAAAAATAAGCTGCTTCTCTTCTTTCTCTTTTGTTAGAAATAAATCCTCAAATCTTCTCGGCCATCGTAGTATAATTCCTTGGAATAAAAACAATATGACACAACCGTTCGAAGGTCCTCTACCAACATACAACTGCAACAACCTTCAGACAATATTATCCGGAAGTTTTCTCGGTAGACTCTGAATAATCTTACCGAGGACGATAAGGAACGTTCAATCCACGTTCAATCCACGTTCAACAATATGTCATTAATTATATTTTTCAATTTTTCTTCCTTCTTCATTCATTCTAGACACTAATTAAAGCGGATTTTCTATACTATGACACTTATTACTTCTGTATGCTCTTCTAGGATTTTTCTTTTTTTTTTTTAATGAAAAATAAGGGTTATGGTTTTAACAGCTTCCTTCAGATTTCTTAACATAACTGGAAAATTAGAAATATTCATTCAATATTAATCAAGCATTGCTATCTATGTTCACATAAGAGTAAGAAAAACAAATAAATTAATGATAAAAGGAAAAATGTACGACCCTGACTATGAAAATAAATTTCGAAACGTTCGAAACGTTTAAAAAAATGAAAAATTGTAATAATAATAATAATAATAATAATAATAATAATAATAATAATAATAATAATAATAACTGCAGTAATTGTTAGGCAGAGAATATTTATGCACGGCCGATGACTATCGACCGTCTGCTGTTCGGTTATTTCGAAAGATAAAAGGCATAAAAAAACCCATTTGCGATTGCGAAACAAGAACGCAAGTAATATAAGAAAATACAAAAATGAAAATATTAACATAATTATCTCCACGGAATTATTCTCATTCTTTTTTTTTTTTGCATTAAGATTCGCAGACCATAAAATTCGTTTTGTCTTTTATTCAAAAAAAAAAAAAAAAAAAAAAAATTGAATGGTTTAAATAAATTGGAAGATCTTATTTTATATAGGTTGTACTTTAGTCATTGCAGCTGCCATCTTCGTATAAAAATAAAACTAACAAATAATATTGTAATATTAATTTAACTTTGAAGAGAAACTACGAAGTAAAAGAAAATAAGGAAAAATAAATTGAAAGAAAAAATAGCAAAACAAATAATTATCTTTTATTTTGTATTATTTGATTAATTTATTATCTATGTTTTCCTCTCTAGTTCTTTTTATTTCGATCGCAATCATGTATTTCTTGCGTAAAGCAAATTCTTCTTCTATGACGTCGTTAATCCCCGACCATCGTAGTCTTTTTAATCTAGAAATTAATTGTTGTCCAGATATCATTTTCTTTTTTTATATGATACTCGATAATTACGAGTGATAATCACTCTTGAAATATCATCAGAACGATTGATTCTATTCCAAAGAACTCATGCACTTAAACAGAACTATAATACTTACAGTTAGATGTAAATATAAATTACACGTATGCCGAAATTTTTTTCTTTTCTTTTTTTTCTGCTTACTTTTTTCCTTTTTTCCAAATTTCTTCATTTTTATTAATAATCGCATCACATTATCGCACTTGCGTTACATATATATGTTTATATATATATGTTTATATATATATATATATATATATATATATATTTGTGTGTTTGTTTGTATGCGTGAGTATATTTGTTGTATAATATTTACATTAAAATAATTTGTTAAATAATTCTAACGATGCCGCTTATTTACAATTTTGCATATGCGTGAATTTTTTAGGTATGTCACGTGTATTTAAGATTAGGTTACCATGAGCTCATGTATGTGTGTGTGTGTACGTGTTTGTGTATATGTCGCATTGATGAAAAAAAAGAACAATAATAATAATAATAATATAATGTCGATGATTAAAACCTATGATGACAACGATAGGTATACTAATCTATATGATTTATAATACAACGATCAATATGAGGAAGAGCGGCGATGATGAAATTCAGATATAATACAAACATAACAAATCATAATAATTATAATATTGATTAGTGTAAAATAAAAAAGAAAAACAAATATCGTTGCAGGCTGTCCGTCCTATGTTTTTTTTTAAAATGTGTTATTGTTCCTCATGATTATCTTCAATTTTATAAAGTTCGCTTAATTTTCTTATTAAAAATCGCGAATTACAGTAATAGATTCGAAATGTATAAAAATAATAGCCTCCAATCGGCAGCGTGGACGCTGTTTATGTTTAAATGTTTAAAATACATGTATGTGCTGTGTGGGTGTCTGTGTGTGTTTAATATTTATTTTGTTCTTGCCATTTTATTCTTTATTAATTAATTGAATGATTTTTGGGCACCAGGATTATTATACGTATATTTTTATTAAATTCGTTAAATACGATTAACTAATGATCTTTATCTATCGTTTTTATTCAAGTAGCAAAAAACAAATAGTTTGAGGAAGTAAATGGCTTACTTTACTTCCATTATTTTCTTCTCTATTTATTATTATTCCATATATCATGTAAAAAATATATTAGGCACTAAATTAATCATAATCATAATAATAATAATAGAAATAATAATAATAATAATAATAATAATAATAATAATTACAATCAGAATAATAATATTAATTAATAAGTAATAAGTCCGTCAGTTCTATGAGTTCAGCTAAAAATTAATCACAAAGTTTTTTCCGTTTTATATTCGTTTTTTTTTTGTTTTTCTTTTTCCCCTCACTCTCTCTTTGCTACTTATTTTTCGTCCACTTTTTTCTTCCAATCTTCTAATCTACGTATATATATATATATATATATATATATATATATATATAATATATACATACACATATACATAAGTATTGTGTATACATGTGTGTATATTAATTATTATAGAGAAATTATATGTGCATGTGGATATGCATTGCACAAATCGTATATGCGCATGTATCACGAAATTATTAGAAGATAAAAAAAAACCAATATTGAAAAGCTCCTTCGACTATAACTCGAATTCGAAGTTTTATTAAACTATAAACGAAAATTATATATAAAGGGAAAAAGAAGGTCCTTTATTTACGTAGACATATAAATAATAAAAATTAGTTAAAGCAAGGAACTGTGAGTTTAGAGTCATATATCTCATTTAACATACCCGATGAGATATATATATTTTTTTATCATCATTATCATAATCATCATCATCATCATCATCATCATCATCATCATCATCATCGTCTTTTTCTTCTCCCTCTTCTTCTTCTTCTTAGTTATTTTACATTACATAAGGCGTATCATTTTTTATTAATATTACTTTTTTTTCTGTTTTGTTTGTTTTTTTTCTTTTTGTTTTTAATTATTAGATAAGAAAGAAAGAAAAAAAGCACACACACACCACGACGTACTTTTTTTCTTTCTAATCGCGTTCTCTCGCTGGATTATTATTATTTTATAATCTTACGCATTTATTATACTTATTAATAAATGTAAATATGTATTATTTATCGTATTTTTTTTTTTTTACATCGAGCTACCATGTTCTCTCTCTCTCTCTCTTTCTCTCTCTCTCCCTCCCCCTTTCTCCCTTGCTTCGATCAGAAACTTTCGATTAAATCATCGAAAATGATTTAAACGTAATATCAATGACGCAACGTCGTGATATGTGTCGTTAGAAAAAAAAATAATAATTAATACAAAACGAAGAAATATTATTATGTAGGAAAGAAATGAAAAAATTTATAAATAAAAATGCGACTTGCTTTTCTTTTTTCTTTTAAAATTTTCACAACGTAGAATACAATTCGTATTCTGATATTAATGTTCTAATAATTAATAATTTGTTTGCTACTAAAATAAGAAAAATAATCATAATATTAATATTAATAATAAACGCAAGTTTGGACGTTCCGATTTACAAAATGTAAATTCGTAATAAAACGCATAGTATTATACACATAGTACATAGATATATCACACTTGTCAAGGTAATTACACGCACGAGTAAAAAATAAATAATAATAATAATAGTAGTATGTATATAATAATAATTATAATAATTAATAATAGTAATAATAAAAACGTTCATCACAACGCGAGAAATTGAAATAAATTCTCTTTAAAAAAAAAAAAAAAAAAAAAATCCTAACTAAATGGAATTATTAAATATATGATATATATCGATAAACTAGAACGTCCGATTTTCGGAATGTTTTTCTTAGGTCCGTGGAAACTCGTCGAGAGAGAAATAATAAACGGTTTATATTCACTTTCTATTTCTTCTCTACTTTTTTCTTTATAATTTTGTCTATATTTTCTGGTATGCATTGTTTGTAGAAACTATTACGCATTAAGCGTTTATACGAAATTAACGTATAAAACTGTAGAGTTAATTATTGCAATACAATTAGCCAAGTAATCGAAAGTTTGCTTATCGCAAACTTGTTCTTGACAATTTTTTCCTTGTTTTTTTTTTTTTTTTCTATATTAAAATCTGGACCGCATTTACCATGAGAAGACAATCAAACGCAAACTGTGTTTCGTCGTTTCTTTTAACGAATTTTCATTTTTCATGAATAATATTATAAAAAAAAAATTAATGTGTCTGCTACAGACAAGATGTACTCGAATAATTTTGTTATAATTATTATTATAAGTTTTACATTAATTTAAATTTAAATTTGAATTGATTTATATTTAAATTATTGTATTTTATTCAATCGAATATGTATTTTTATCTTATTAAAATGAAATCACCCTACGCAAAAGATTGGCATTGTATTGGCAATAAAATAAAAATACTAGTAAAATTGCGTTTATCGTTTCTAAGAATATAAATGCGGCCTTGATTATGTGTAGAATTTTCATTACAAAAAAAAAAAAAACAAAAAAAAAGAATAAATAAATAAATTGCCGATAGACAACAGACGACAATTAGTATCGTAACATTAACATGTTAATAATAAATAATATTGATTAATATTGTTAGAAATTTAATTGATTAAATAAATGGTAGTTAATATATAATAGTTTTTTCTTTAGCGAAATGTTACCAAGTCTCTTTCTGCATTTGTTCTTCGTATTATTATAATTTAACAAGAAAAAGTATATAAACGAAGAGTAATAATTGTGGAAAAATAATAAATAAAAGAATAATCTGTAATACATCTTCTTCGTATCGAGGATGAACACACACTGGTATTTGTAATATGATTTGGAATTGTTTTTGTTTTGTTCATTGAAAATTCTAAAAGTAACGTCCGCGTCGAATGTCAAACATTTGTATTCTATTAATTCTATGTGTATTTTTGTTTGATTTCTTTTTCTGTTTGCGTTTTGATTTCTATTTACGTTTCTCTGGAATATTACGATCATCACCGACGAGTCTCCCCTTTTGTATCATCTGAGAATTGTTTTTTTTTTTTTTTTATTCATTGCTTACTCGAAGTGCTGCCTTCCCCGTTTAAAATAGACAATTTTGTTCTTTTTACTAGAGAAATAAAAAACGCTGCCCAAAAGTGCGACTTTAAAATTGATTGAATCGAATACCAACGTTGGTAGGACGGTTTCAAAAAGAACAATAATATTAAATTAATTCAAATATATCTTAATAGACAAACAAAAAGAAAATAAATATTAATTTTGTACAATAATTAAATAAACAATTTTGCTAATAACAAATTTAAAATCTACATCGTATTACTATAACACGTTGATATAATTTAATTTTCATAAAACAACCAAGGAAATATAAAAATATAATCAAAATTGTATAGAAAACAAAAAAACAAACAAAGGATCAGAATCCGTCCTTCCAAAACGTTGAGATAATTATTAATTAAAAAATATCTAAANAAAAAAAAAAAAATAAAAAATAAAAATAAAATGAAATCATATCGATTTCTTAAAGATAATGTTTCATTAATTATTATCATAATCATCGTCATCATCATTTTCATCATTATCATCATCCTTCACTGGAAAGAGGATGACATTCGAGCGAATCACGTTCGGCCATAGCTTCACCACAACGTAATGGAAACTCATCGGTTAAGAGACTCTCGGGTATCATGTCAGCAGAGTCGATGCTGTCAAAGTATCGATGTGGCCAGGTCGAATTAGGCCTAAAACATCGAGTGGACGATCCAAGTATAAATTCGACCCGAGTTGAACCAGTAACCGACGAAGTTTCTTGATTTAATGAATCTGGATACAAAGATGAATCGCTATGCCGAAAACTCTTACTGCTGCTGTTGCTGTTGGTTGAGCACCAGGAACTTGGTGGTTCGGTATATGTCTAAAAATAATAAATAACATATGATTATACATGGTCCAATCGAATTAACAAATATTAGATCGTTTGAAAAGTAATTTCGTTCATCTTTTTGTTTATTCATTAACATTTAACAACTTAATCATTTAACAATTAATAAACAGATGTTTTATTTTTTCTCATTACCATAAGAATAAAAATGCAATGAAAATTTCGTTTCAGTCACAGTTCAAATTTGTGTATTTTCCATAGAAAAAAAGAAAACGAAATAACTTTCCGAACATTCTAATATTTTTACGGAGGACTTTAATTGTCCTAATTTGATATTATCAATTATCAATTCCGCTTTCATTTACAAAGCGAGATAATTCGTATTGGTGTTTGTACGTTTTATTTATTTATATTTATTTGTCTATAAATAAATATACGCGTCCAGGTCTCGAGAGCTTAAGGCTGCGGCGTGTAGGAAAAATAGGCTTGACAAGGATGAAGAAAATTCGACGAATCAACGAAATATTGTTTTTCAACGAAACAAGAAGAGACAAGACAACTTTGTTCATCATGAGAACAATAATATTGGATTGATTTATGAAATAGAAAAAGGTAGCAGTGGTGGTAGGTGTAATCAGTGGTACCGAAATGAACCTCAAAATGCCAAGCGGACTGGTAAGCGTGCGAATCCATTTTTTTTGTTTTTTTTTTTTTTTTTTTTTTTATTTAACATTTCTTATTTCGTTTAATTGAATTTCAAGCTTCTCCTCGCAATGCTAGCAAATCAGATGAAACCTCAGCGAACGAAAAAGACAACACAAAGAAAAAAAGAAACAAGAATTTGTGTAACCAATAACAGATATGATCGATGCTCAAAATGCTGGATCTACGTGTATCAGCAACAGGCCAGGGAGGAAGAAAAAAAGAAAGAAAGAAAGAAATAAAGTAAATAATTCTCTCAAAGGATTTTTCATACTGATTGCAAAGGATTTTCTACGGGTTTTCATGTTTTTTTTTTCTTTTTTTGTTTTTTTTTTTTGTTTTTTACGTGCATACATGCCCCAATTCCAAGACGTGTGATGACGAAGAAACCAAATTCTACTTTACAGCTAGAAAGAAAAAGAAAGAAAAGAAATGTAAAAATGAAAAAATGAAAAAAAAAAAAAAGAAAGAAAGAAAAAAGTATGTTTAAATGTAAGGCTACAGCTCACCAACATCCAGGAATAAGATAGAAGCATCGAAGCAAATGATAATAAAAGAAGCATAACTTACGAGAAAAAACCGGCGGCACAGAGAGACGCGAGTGGGGGGGCGGGCCATTTTTCTTTATTCGACACCGCCGGTTGACGGACTCGAACGGACGTTCGCTTAATCTCCACAGGAGGTGTTTTCAGTTCAGTAACAGGTAGATTGGGCTCGGGCATATTTTTCTCTCGCGAATTACTAGAAGAAGTTGGGTTGTGGTGGTGGTGGTGGTGGTGGTGGTTGGTGGTGATGGTTCTGATCGTCGTCGTCGTCGTCGTCGTGCTCGTCGAGTCTCTGTGTTTATATTATTTCACGTCTTACGGTGGTGGTGATGGTATTTTTGTTATTTCTTTCGTGTATAACAGATTTGTTGAAAAAGAAAGACAGAAAGAAAGAGACAGAGAGAAAGATAAAAAGACAGTGGTTAGAAGGATGAAGAGAAATTCATTAAATATTTCTAACTATGAGGATTTCAAATAAATTCAATGGGAAGGAAATAAGAGTTGTGTCAAAATGATTTTTGAAAATTCATGCGCCCGATGTGTATTACTGATCAAGTTTTTAGTAGCGATACGCTTCAGCTGAGATGACAACTGTGTTAAGGTAAATATTAGTAGCATAATCGCCGCTAAAGATAGAAGGAATGAGATACGAATTGTCTTCAAATGTCCGGAGATACTTGTCGTAGGGATCAAATTAAACGATAATGAGAGAAAAAGTAAGAAAAAGAGTTGACTAAGGTTCGTCTTAGGATCGTCGTCTGGCCTCTGTTTAATAATAGTTGTTCTTTTTCTTTTTGTTTGTTTGTTTGTTTGTTTGTTTAATTAAATCGGTCCGTTGGACAATGGCGACTTGAGCCAGCTGCTCCAAAAGAATTGCTTGACGGGTCGTACCTTGCCATTGTCGGTATCAACGGACGACGCTGCGCGAGCCAGGCTGTGGGAACGACGCGCAGGAGCGGGCGGTCGTCTAGGAGGAGTCGTGCCCGGGGACGGGTTAGTCCCGACATTGCTAGACTCCAACGAGTCTCGCGCGCGGGACAGCGAGGAGGATTTGTTTAAGGAGTCTCGGCTGGAATTGTTACGGGGCAAGGACCTATTCAGGGAATCCCTGCTGGTCTCCTTGCCGTTGACGTTGCTGTTGTTACTGTTGGTTGCACTCTTTGATAAACTCTTGTTGTTGTTGGTGTTGTTGCCTAATGACTCCCTGCTCGTGTCTCGAGTCTTCGATAAGGATTTGCCACAATGACTGTCGCGACTAGAATCTCTCGGTAACCTCGTCAAAGACTTGAGAGACTCTCTGCTGTCGTTTCTACCATGACTCGGTGGTCTCGGTGCCGTCGGTTTACCCGTTGAACCCGGTAAAGGTATACGACTAGGTCGCCGACGTGGCGATGGTTTCACTTCGACTGCTTGATGATGATCTCGTGCTGACTCCGTACTACTACCTGGCTCCAGACCACTTTGTTCGCATCGCGGTTGCTCGTTTTCAGCTTCGGGTTCTGCTTCCGTCGGAGCTCGTTGCTGAAGACGTTCTAGGACCCGCACGCGAGCACGCGTACCCTCCAATTCGATGTTTCTTTCTTCTAACTGCAAATTTTAAAACATTATTATTTAACAAGAATTACACTTGCAAATAAATTGATGATATACATTTGAAGAATACTCACTTGGAATCGGAGATCGTCGTTCTCCTCACGAGCCTTATCCAATCTTTCCGAAAGAGTTTCTGTACTCTTTTGTACCTCGTCCAACCTCTTTTGCAACACCTACGGAAGAATTAATTAAGAATTATTGTTATTGTTGTTATTATTATTATTATTATTATTATTATTAATTGGCATTAGGAACTCGAAAGTTTCCTTTCTTTTCGTCTCGTAATGTAAGCGACCACATTTCATCTGATTTTGAAGCGCCTAGACAGCAATCACGAGCAAAGTAATTTATTGACATTGCCAAAATTGCTTGTTTTCTTAAGTTCTTCGTTAATTTCGTTCATCTGGTTTATAATTAAAAAAAGAAAAAAAAGAAAAAAAAAGAAAAAAACAGTCAAGAACGCAGAGATACTATGATCTTACTTGATTATGGACGGTGGTTGTGATTAGGTGCCGTTGCAATTCGAGAGGTGAACTTTCGCGAAGGATAGCCGCAATTTTACCAGAATCTACATCCTTCACGTGGGTCACTCTCGTAGGTGAAACTAGGACGGAATCCAAAGCTCCCAACCTGGCTCTTCTTTCGATCACGCTAGCTTCGATATCGAATTCACGGCGTTCGTTGTCCACGTGAGCTACCGCATCCAACAGAACGTTCTTTTCTATGGTCCTTGTCCGAAAACGACTCTTGTGATTTTTCGAAACCGATGCGAAAGCCGAAGATTTGCTTTTGATGTTACTAACAGTAGCACTTTTAGGTGTGGACACAATTGCTCCAACCGGAGCGATTGGTTGCAATCTCTGAGCACCCGGAGACAAAAGATCTGAATCGTTCAACTCCGCCTTCAATCTATCCTCGAGACCAGTCTTCAATGCTGATAATGCAGCCAATTCCGTTTGTAATTCCTGTGCACGGGCACGACTCGATATAGTCTCAGCTTCTAATTCAGCTACCTTATCCAACAATTGTTCCTTTTCTCTTCTCAAAATTCTCACTTGGGACTCTCTGCCATTACTCTTGTGAAGTTGAAGATCGGTTTGGTGTTCGGTGCTATCAAGATGGGTTACCTTTCTAACGGCTTCCAAGACATCGTCGCCAGAGGCAAGATCTTCAGTGGTGACGCTCTCGAGACGACCTTGGAGACACTCGACTTCCTCTCGAAGCCTTATACCCTTCCGATGTATGACATCGAGAAGATTCCAGAGTTCATCTTCGGCCTCGTCCAATACACCAGCAGGCCGAGGACTGCTAGGTCTTGGGGCTATCGCCGTAGAGGCACTGTCCTTCGACGAGGTCTCCGTACTGAAGCCGGAATCCTGAACGGTGGCACTACAGTTGTTTTTGGTCCCACCGCTCTGAGAATTGCTACGACTTCTTGGTAACGACGAAGAGGAAGACTCGACTGGTTGTTCCCTCGTTACTACTCGTCTTCTAACCTTTCCCGGTTCCCATTCGCTAACCCTTCTCGATGATGGGCTCGACAAAGGCAATGGTATATGGGAATTTTGGCTGGAGGACATCACGGACGCACCCGCCGACGCCGTCGCAGCCATCTTGTGCCGGAGGTTTGGGAACGTCTCGATGACGAGGTCCCGGAACTCGAGAAGGGCGCCGACCTCATTCTGCAACTCCTGCAGGGCTACCAAGGACTTTGCTTGCTCGTTTATCAGGTAATGGAACGGTCCTGGACGGTGGGGCATGCAATCCATGCCACTTACACCGCTACTTACTACTACGTTGTTGCATTCGTTTCTTCCGCTGTTTACAACAACACCACCACCACCACCACCACCACCACCACCAGCAACGACGTTGCTACCGCTGCTACAGCTAACCACCACCACACCCTCTGTCGAACCTGCACCGCTGCTGCTGCTGCCACCGCCGCCACCGCCGCCGCCGCACTGCTGCTCATGTTAAACAAACAAATTTTTTCATTTATTAATTAAAATATAACAGAATAGAAAAAAAAAAAAAGAATAAAAATAAAATACAGATAAATATTTCGTCAAAATGATGAAACCAAAATTACTGTAAAAATATCTAGATCATCCGGTATTTCCGTTCAGCAAATTTAGCTTGAATTAATTACGAGAAGGTGTATTAAATCGACGTGAGTGGCTGATAATCGCGAGATAAGATCAATCGTGTACGATAGAGAGATATTGATAACATGATCGACGACGTGCGAAGGACGACGCCTCTCGGCGTTATACGCATGTTAGAACAAAAAATAATAGCCATGAATTAGAAAAGCTTGTACGCTATTTAATTAATTAATAATTCGTTTGATCGATAGATAATACATTTTTTCCTTTTATAAATGATGATAATTTATTCTAATCTTAAATAGTTATATGTAAATGTAAATGGTATGCGTGTGTATAACCTGAATATTTATTTGCATGTACAATTGAGAATATAGAAATATTTGTGTGTGATTTAGTTACACGTTTCCTTGTGTGTGTGTATGTGTGTGTGTGTATTTGTGTATCGATCCACGTGGGCGTGATCCACGTAAATACATCTTTCTTGGTCCTTTGTTCGTTCGAATTTGAAGGCGTGGACATAAACGACGAACATGAATAATAATAACGTATCTCAAAAAAAAATACGTATATAATTTATCTCATTGAAATTTTACAATACAATGGTATAATAAGTAGATTAAAGAAAGATTAAATGAGGTCTTATCGATAAGAAAGAAAATGTTATTTGAAGAATTTTATACATTTCGTATGTTTCAACAAAAAAAAACCGTACCGTAAAAAAACCGTAAACACACCAATTAAAATAATCACCGATAAAGAAAATTCATGGTGTTTTGTTAAAAGAAAAAGCAAATATCGTTTTACGTATTCCCTTCGAGCTATACAATGATTTGTAATTCTACCATAGAAAACGCGTATAGTATATATATTTTATTTATATATGTATGCATGTATGTATGTATGTAAATAATATATGTACGAAGAAGTTTTACGAAGAAAAAGTAGAAATCGAGTACGACGTGAGAATAAATTTTCGAGTAACAACGACGCCGCCTTCTTCTTCTCTTCGTTAAATTTCTTCCTACTTTTTTTTTTCTTTTTTTTTTTTTTTTCGTACTTTCGTTTTTTTTTTTTTTTTTTTTTTTTTTTTTTATTAGCCAAGGTGCCTGCTGTTGAGATCCTTCAGAAAACGATTTGTGATAAATCGTTTCTCACAGTATAGAGACTCTCGTCGTGGCGACTAGAGTTGAGCATCAAAACGGGATAGTTGAGAGAAAACGAGGCTTTTGTGTCAGTAGTGATCACTGCTAATGATACTTGGGTTAGATACTCATGTACGAATCGAATATTATTTTTTTTTTTTATTTTATTTAATTATATACACGCTGAGAAATGTTTCCAAATTGACACCCATAAATGCGATATTTGTTCTCCGATTTTATGAAAGAAATTGTTAAATAAAAACATTAAATAAAGAGAGAAACCCGTTTGTAAATTTTATTTATGATTCTATGGAATCATAATCAAATGGCTGAATTGAAAAACTAACGAAGAATTCAAATTGTATTAAACAAAAGTGATGATTTATTTTTTGTTGAATTTAATTTTCATGAAAAATGTTAATTAAAATTTATAGGAAAGATGAAAATAAAAAAACACTTTCATGACGTGATTCATCACTACGTTCAATAGTAGTCGTCCTTTTTTCCTCTTTACTTTGCCCACTCCTCCCTCGCCCTAGAAAATCCACCTTTGCTTAGCTTATGGTTAGTTGTTTTCTTCTTCTTCTTCTTCTTCTTCTTCTTCTTCTTCTATGATTGCATCGGGAAGAAGAAAAAGGAAAAGGAGAAGAGGAAAAAGCCCCCGCACTGGTAATCATCCGCATAATAATGGCCCAACTCGTTGCATACACACGCGTGTCATTCTTATAAGGAGCGAACACTTGCCTACGCAAGAGAGTCTTGTCTTCTCGATGAACACCAAA